TATGAATACCAATTAAAGATATAATTTTTATCATTTTAACCTCCTTCTTCATGAAAACATTTTCATTGTTAACTAAACACATCTTTTTAATATATTAAAAATGTCATTTCCATCATTATAATATTTCTGAAAATGAAAATTGATAATTTAAAACAAAATGTTGATACATATTAGTGAGCTAGATTACTTTCAAACATGTGTATGGCGGTGTTAGTGCGAAGAATTTGTTTCTTATTGACAGTGGGTAACTTGTGCACCGCAAATAATTTATTTCATAAATGAAAATTTCATCTGACAAAGATTGTGATGTTGTGAGTACAACAGTCGAAAAGCGATAGAAGAAAAGCCATATCAATTACATTACAAATTTACAATACATTATCACACAATGGTAAAGGTAAGCCAAAAGTTGTCTACGAATTCATAGGGTAAAATAATAATGTGGATTCATTCTTGTCATCGATATACCAACCTTAGTATATAATATATGTAATATATAATATGTAAGACTTTATAATCTCTCATAAAACCTTGGAAACCCAATTCATTCAAAATTTTCTTTTAAAACAACCACAGAATCACAAGGGAAAAGGAGTGAAAATAAATATGGGAAGTGAAGGAAGAAGACACTTGAAAATTTAGAGAAAAGTGAGAGACAGTGTCAGTGTCTGGTCTGACAATGACAGGGGTAACAGTAAAATAAAATACTCTGTAGAAATAACAGTAATATTATTTCGTCTTGAATAGAATTGACCCCGTCCTTGTGCTTCCCTTGAGAGCCACGTGATGCATGTAACACACGAAACCCTCCTTTTTGCCACCAAGTGCAATCCTGTACTTTTTCCACTGCTCCTAATTTAACTTTGCTTCATACTTCATACAGTTACTTCTCTCTGCTTAGTACAAATTATACTCTAGCTATTACACTACCATTATTATATATAAAACTTATTCATATCAAAACATGTTCACGAATGACACAAAAGTCTAGCACTCTTGACTAAGACTTGAATAAGTAGTTTTGATCATTGAATATGATCTGAAAAGTCATACATACTATCTGGGCTTTTTTTCAGTAATTTTATATTCTTTTGACTATTCATGCAAAATTAATGATTAAAGTTTATTCTTCTTATCCGTGCGCATATACTAAATATATTGCAAAGTTTGAATGAGTTTTGAATAAGAGCATAGATTCGCCTAACTGGAGCCAATTGGAAAAGAAGGGTGGATGCTTAAGTTATAACAAGTTTAGTGGTAGCTAGAGATGAAAGTGAAATAGAAAGCTCAAAACCAATGAAGCGTGGAATGTTTCAACTTCAACTTGAGCACTGCACAGCCACGTGACTTGCTAAAAAATTGACACTCTATTCAACAAAATACTATAAATACACAGTTACTTCTACTTCTGAAAGATATAATGTCAGTCTCATTACTCACTCCAAATTAAAAATTATCAATCACATTTTAAAATAATTTAATCAATGAAATATATATATTTTAATGATTTGATTTCATAATTTTTGTTTTTAGAAAACATAATATATATATATATATATATATATATATATATATATATATATATGTGTGTGTGTGATAAAATGATATAATATAATAAAATAATAATAAATATTTAATAAGGTAGTTGGACTTGAGAGATATTAACTGATCATATCACAAACTACAACTTTATTGTGTGGAATATTTCCATTTTTTGAAATAAAATAAAGGTTTAAATATATATATATATATATATGTGTGTGTTTGATCTTAAAATAAAGTACAAAAGCAGAATGCAGAAGGTGTAACACTTTGCAGTTTGCAGTGTCACTAATACATTGCCTCACGTGAAATGCCACATCTTATCTCAACACCCTTCACGAAGACTCATTCTCATTACCACTCATTCAAAATGTCCGTCACTAATTCTATCATGAGCTAGCTAGTGAAGAATGAAATATATTCCACACCAAAATAAATAAATGGACTAAATATATACTTTGATAGATCATAAGTACGAGTTTGATCTTCAGCTATCTCCCACCGTTTGGGATGAAGGAATCATTAATATGCATGGTTGTAAATGAAATTATATACAATTAGTTAATTCTAATATACTTTAAAAGTTTCATATCATTTAGGAATTGAGATTAAAAATAATTTATAAATATTTTTTTAATAATAAAAAATTATAATATAATAATAAAATATACAATTATTTAATAATATTAAAATATATTCCATAAAAAAATGAAACCATGATCATTCAAGTACAAAAATTTATAAAAACTAATATTTTAACATGTGTAATGCATATAAAAAATATTCATTTGATTTCAAATTTATAATAAGAAAATATTTTAAATATTTAAATTATATTATAATTAAAATGTGTAAGAAGTAAAATTTTTTAACATGTAAATAATATTTTTAGATGTATAATAAATAATTCATATAATAATAATAATAAATAATTTATATAATAATATAAAAATATTTTTAATCATTGACAACTTTTAGAAATATATATATTGAAATTCAATTATAAAATGAAAATTAAAATGTTAAATCCAAAAGAATAAGGTGTTAAAATTTTTCTAAAATAATCTCATTAAATAAAACTTTATGAAAATATTAGTTAAAAAATTTTCATATAAACGCTCTCGTTTAAGATAAGTATTTTAATTTTAAAATACAAAGTAAGAATTTAGAAAAGAGAAAAGTAAAAAATAAAATTAGTTAAAATATTTTTTCATCTAGGTGAATATATTACTTTTTTACTTTTAAACCTTATAATTTACTTTTATTTGTAATTTTCACGTGACAAACATGATACACAAATATTTTCGTGGTGTAATACCAAATGGAGCCGAATAAGCGTTTTTGTAATTAAGACTGATGATAAAAATAAAATAATAAAAAAGTCTGAATAGTTAAGAACCATATAGCTTTATTTTTATTTATTTATTTATATATTTATAGAAATCAAAAGTGAAAACTACTATATATATATATACATTTGCGGGACGAAGTATTTAAGCCAATAAAATATGTAATGTCAATGTGATTGAAATATAAAAGAAAAATATATTATATAAATTTCTATGTAATTAAATTATATAGTTATCTTTTTATATATATATATATATATATATATACATTATCAATATAAATAATTTTATATTATTAATCAATTAAAAATCACTTTAAACGTATATTTTAAATTGTGAAAATAATTTAAATTTTTATTTATACTGAATTCACAATATATTGAAATTATATTCACTTGTAAATAGTTAGACATTTTTTTCCTTTTTATTATTGTTAGTTAATATTTATTTTTTTTAGTTTTTTAAATTTATTTTGTGAAATAATTTGCTAAATATTGTCTCATAAAATCTATCTATTAATCCTTCTGTTAATGAAGATATTATATTAAATTTAATTGATATTATTTAATTATTTTAATCTATTATTTTTATATATATTATTGGTGAACTTAGGAATTAAAATGAGATTAATTACCGAAACTATGCATAAAAATTTTAAATTTGAAGATAATTAGAAAGTGAGATTTAACTATCCAAACAGATAATGTCGGAGTGTTAATTATGAGAGAGGAAGTTGAATAAAAAGTAGAAACAATAATTAAAGGATAAAATAGGTAAAAGAAAATATGAAAACATTGTATTACCTTTATTATTATTGTTATTGAATGAAGAGGAACAGAAAGATTGAGAGAAAATTTGGGGTGGGGGGGGGGGGGGGAGAATGTGAAGTTATTGTAATTAAAGTTAAAGTAAGTACACAAAATGTATAATTTAAAAGTTAATATAAATTATAAATTATTGTTATAAATTATATCCCCTTCCAGATTAGCTGGGTGACTCCCCCGGATTTCCTTGTGTGTTTTATTTCTTTAAATTATAATTTAATTTTGTCCCAACATATATATATATATATATATATATATATATATTCATTTTAGGCTTGATAAATAAAATTACACTTTAATCACTGTATGAAAAGTGATGTTATGATGATATTAAAAATCTAATGCTCTCTAAAAAAAAAAAACTTATAGATGATAATATTTTCTCGGTTTACTCTATGCAATGAATATGTTTTGTTGTTATAAAAATTGTACATTTTTTTATAATGAAAACAAAATGATTTGAATACAAAATATTTTATAAACTATTTATATCTCTTATTATTAAATCAATCAATAATGCATTTATAATTTTTTTTTCATTAGTTATTTTTTTGCTCTCTATATTGATTGTTGAACCGATGTGGATTTAGTCAATGTAGAAAGTTGATCACTACATTAGGTTTTAAATAACACATAGAAAAGGGGCTACATCTAGACACCACCACCACCATAAACAACGATCAAATTCGCCATCGATGACCTATTCGATAACACACTCCTCTTCATCACATGGCTCCGTGGACTTCTCAACAAGTTCAAGAAGGGGAAGATCAAGGAGTAAAAGAAGATAAAGCCAATTAGAGTTCTTGGAGGAGTTGAGAGAGAATTGTAAAAGAATAGAGGAAGGGTTGGAACACTTGCAACTACAAATTTGGACAAGACATTTTACGTCGATTTAAATTTTAACCCATATAAAATATTAATACTCTTCCTATATCAATTCAAAAGATTTAAAAAAAAGTATTTTTTTAATTTAAAAAATTGCTCTTTATGTAATTTAACCTTTTTATCATTGGTGATCCTCATAAGTTAAAAAAAAAAAAAAGATATGAATTTCATTTCACTTTTTACATAAAAAATTTCCTACATTTTGATCCTTAAGAGTATTAATCAATAACTGATTTTTATATATAAACTAAAATGTAGACTAATTTTTTAATTAACCTTTTATTTTATAACGTTATAAATTTATAAATTCATGTATAGTTCAAAACAAAATATTTATTCCCTATCACTTTTCTTTATTTTTTTTCTTCTTCTTCTTCTTCTATATTCCTTATAAATATCTAATGTAGAAAAATAGAGGAAGAAAAGCACAAGACATCACTCACCAACTCTCCATGCTCTCGCGTACTCAACCTCTTCCATAAACCCAACCCTTTCTTTCTCTTACTATCTTCCATGGAGGAGTTACTGTTCAAAGCAGAGAAGCCCAACGCCGTCAGAAGATACAACAACGTCCTCGACGCCGTTTCCAAAACCCTCCGCCTCCTCGAACTCTGCGCCCTCATCCTCCTCCTCTCCTGGCTCCTCACGCGCCTCCCCTTCGCCCTCCAATTCCTCCGCACACTCTTCGCCCTCGCCGCCAGCCCCCTCTTCGTCTTCGCCCTCTCCAACGCCATCATCGCCGCCCTCCTCGCCCAGTCCGGCCACTTCTC